TAATGATTAAGTAAGGGCAAATTTAAAATTTTTATAAAAGTACAATAATATTTTTGAAGCTAGTGTCCTAGAGCTTTATTTGTAGAGTGCCCTTGTCTTTTGGTAAGAATTTCAACTTTACCCTTTACAAAATGACAAAAGTACCCGTTGTCTTTTAGTGATATTTGTACAAACATCTTTGCTTGCTGAGCAAGATATCACAACATATTTTTTTTTTAAAATAAGACACTTCATATTTAGCAAATCCACCATTCACAACTCACTCGAACATTAACCTTTGTAATTTGAAAGGTTGTGAATTGTAGGTTATCCTATATATGGTTTGATAGGGCTGCAGTCCTATCAAAATAAGTAAAGCCTCACCTCATAACTCATTAAAGTTGCAATTCAAGCACTAAAAAACGTTTACATCGATCATCTTGGCTTGAACATTATGATTGTGAAAAAAAAAGGGATTCAAGCTCTAGATATAATGTATATCGTAACAAATTATCTAGACCATTCATTTTACCTTAAAAATAAGTGTTCATAGATCCGCAAGATCTTTACCATTTTTTGAGTTTGAAATTTGATCGTCGGTGTTGAAAGTTGATTTTAGAGCCATCATGGAGATTTCCGTTGCTGATAGTGCTTTCTAGATGAGGATTTGATGTGAGGCTTTATTTTGTTTTCATAACGCCTAAGCCTTATAAAAACACTTATATATATATATATATATATATAGACACACACACACACACACACATAATATTTTTTTTTAGCTCAGAGGTTGATGGAATAGTATAAGCCCGACGGCTCAAATTAAATTTGGCTGATCTAACGGCTAATGTTTATGGATATTATTTGATTTTTATTTTTATTTTTTATAAATCCAATAGACTTGAAATTTTAGAGGCATATGCACCTTACCTACGTGAACAAAGGAATGAAATAGAACGCAAACGAATGGATGAAAATACCCCCAACACATTCACTACAAATGCAGAGTTATTTTGTCTTGTTTTGCATAGCTTTTTATTTTTCTTTGGTGTGCCAAGTCAGGGGCCCATGCTCCCAAAATATTAGGTTCATTGGATTTATAAGAAAAAATTAAAATAAAAAAGTGTCCTTATATGCTGACCATTAGTTTGGCCCAAATTTTATTTGGACCATTATGTTGATACTGTTCCATCATACACAGGTTAACAAAGTTCTTCACTCTGTTACTCCACACAGAGGTACACACACGCACACATATACATATGTACATATATATTATAGGCTTGGTTTGTGAGAGCAGCTTATTAATAGCATTAATAGCAAGATGGGGTGAGGCTAAATTTTACACCTGTCTAACACATCCCACCTCCTTTACCGGGTTTGGGATGGATTAAGGGAAAGTTTAAGGTCCTCACCCATATAGATAAGATGTTTTTTAGCTCACAGGTTGATGGAGTAGTGTAAGCCCGACAACTCAAATTAAATTTGGCCGATCCAACGGCCAATGTCGATGGACATTATTTGGTTTTTATTTATACTTTTTATAAATCCAATAGACTTGAAATTTTGATGGCATATGCACCTGACCTATGTGAACAAAAGAATGGAATAACATGCAAACAAATGGATGAAAATACCCCCGACACGTTTACTCCAAGGGCAGAGTTATTTTCTCCTTCATTGCATAGATTTATATTTTTATTTGGTGCACCAAGTTAAGAGCACATGCTCCCAAAATTTTAGGTCCATTGGATTTATAAGAAAAAATTAAAATCAAAGAATGTCCTTACATGCCAACCATTAGTTTGGCCCAAATATTTATTTGGGCCATTAGGTTGATACTGTTCCATCTCACACAAGTTAACAAAAGTTACTTCACTTTGTTACTCCACACAGGTACACACACACGCATAATATATTATAGGCTGGGGTTGTGAGAGCAGCTTATTAATAGCATTAATGTGATGGTTGCAGCACCACTTTGCACTCCATACACTAGTGTAAGATGGGGTGATGCTTCTCCCCGCTCCCTCCTCTTTTTTTTTCCCCAAATTGTATGTAAAATGGTGATAAAAAAGCAGTGTTTTGAATTCCGCCTAAGTGGTTTAAGGGCAGGGCGTACTGTTCCCTATTGATTGCCCTGGATGCTTAGGGCAACTTATTGTATTGGAAATTATGTATGGTAATTTGCAGAATTACTACATGGTCCCAAATTTTCTCAATTTTATGCCCAAACCTTTTTTTTGTTTTGTTTTTTATTCTAGTTTTAACCCCGGTTTGTTGTTGCAAACATTTCACTCTTTTTAAATTTTTTATTTTTTATTTTTGCTAATTCTGGGCTAGTCCAATCTTCCATATATTGGTCCACCCCATTTCGGCGGTTGTTCGATATTGGAAACATTGGGCATCCTCATACTTAGAATTTATTTTTATTAAGTATATCCACTGTTAGAAAGATTTGAGTGTATTTAAAATCCAAAATAAAAAGAAATCCAAAATAAAAAAGAAATTTTAGATAGTCAAATATCTCCAAGATCGGACTGCCCCATCTTGACCCAAATGACCGCCCCATTGCTAATTCCAGTTGGAGATGATATGATAGGTTAAACCAAGCTACTGATATTTTTCACCTAAGTTTAGTTCCTAGTCGTCCCCCTCTCTCTCTCCTAAAGTAATTAGTTCCTTGGGATTTATTACCTTTTCAAGATGGGGCAGTCAACCAATCATTTTAAGACAACTTAGCCCATGATTATGATATGTTGGGTTAATCCTCAAATCGTCATCTCATTGGGTTTGGAGATGTGGCAGTCATTTGGGTCAAGATGGGGCGCTCTGATGTTGGAGATATTGGACCAACTCAAATTTTAATTTTTTTTGGGGAATTTAAATACTCTGCGATCTTTCCAACAGTGGACCTCTCCAAACTTAAAAAGAGGCATTTTAAGTATGGGGCAGTCCGATGTTTCCAATCTCAAATCGGCCTAGAAATGAGCCAACATGATACATGGGGCTTCATATTGCCTGAGTTTGCAAAAATAGGAAAATTTTAAAAAGCAGTTCAATGTTTGCAGCATTGAACCTGGAGCAAAACCGATACACAAAGACCACTAAAAGGACTTGGGCATAAAATTGGATAAATTTGAGACCATGTGGTAGTTTTGTAAATTATTTTCAGTCCTTACGTAAACCACCTCACAAAGATAACCTTAATAGCATGCTGTATTTGTGATTCAGTGTATGGTGCACTTGGATCTCTTAAGAAATAACTCTGCCTATCCATGGGGCAATCCTCAAAGAGTTGTATTCTTAAGCTACTGTAGTCATATCAAAGAAGTCCACTTTTGTTGAGAATAGAGGAAAAACATGTTTTTTTTTTCTTGTAGTCGTATGAGTGTTTTGGTGGTGTATTGGTAGCAAGAGGGGTTGCAAAACTAGCTTACCATAAATAGTAGCCAACCAAGCTGGTTCGCCGATGAATCTTAAATGGGTGTAAGAAAAAAAAGGAGTGCTATTGCTAAAAAAGCATGTGCCTAACTAGGATATTCACATAGTTTCTCTAGCTTTTTTTGTTTTTTATTGTGTGTGAGCATGTGTCTGTCTTGTTCACGTACCTGTGCGTGTGGATGTGCATGTGTGTGCGCGCGCACGCGCATGTATGTGTGGTTTGTGTTGTGTGCCTGCATGTGCTTGCAGGTGTGCTTTTATTGATCAACTTGATTAGCTCTCGAGTTAGGTCAATAAGGGCAAGTCTGATGTGTCCAATAGCTTTTTATCACTGCATGAACAACTTGCGCTACCAAGTCTCCTGGATTTCTTTGCTTGAGAGTTTTGATACGGTTTTTATTTCTTATCCATGGTTTGCAATAGAACTAGTTGTGTTCATGAATTACTAGTGTTGACTATATGAATTTGTGTCAGGCGATCTAATAGTCGCAGTGGTGATCTTTAGAAGGTTTTGATCCTTTAGCATGTTCTTCAATTTCACTTCTGTATAGATATAGATAGCCTTAAATACATTTTTCTGGCATCGAAACTGCATATATATCCTCTGTGCGGTGTCTTGTTTTCCAAATATGTACTGGACAGTCTATCATGTGCAAGATTGCAGAGATTGAATCCCCCAGAACCATTCTGTAATAAAGTTACTTAAGGATCATGGAGCTCCTGTTTAGAATTCTTTGCTCTATCAAGGCATTGTGCAATCTCTCTATTACAATCTCTTCACTTGACTATACTATACATGCCTCATGTTATGATTTTGGCTTCTTATTTGTGTCTCTCTGAAATATGGTCAGACTTCATATTGAAGCTGATCGAAAGGTCCTCTATATCATAGGCACTCCCATCAGTAGATTTTCCTTATCCCGCTATCCCTCCCTTATCATGCCGTCCTTCTTTGGGAGGGAGTAAGCTGGATCCCTGATGGGTCATTTGCTCTGCCATCATCTATGATGTTTTTGAGGCAATATGATTTCTTTTAGTAAGAAACAAAATGTGGTCATACTAACGTGAGTCATGTTACTGGTGATATTCACATTGCTCCCTCTATTGTGCTAAGATAAATTCTCTGATATTTTTGTTTCTTTATACACTTAATTTTCTGAACGTGGTTTCTTTGCATACTTTCTAGGCAATTTTCTTGAGTATCTAGTGGCTCATGGTTATGGGTTTGGGAGTTGCCTATGATACCATATTATGGTCCTCTTCTTAGCAAAGGGACTCAGTTCTTCTAATGTGACAACATATTGTGCATGCACTTCCTAAGATATTTTGTTATAGATGTATGTAAGGATCTGCAACCATGGTTTGGAGTTAGAATGCAGTCTTAGTACCCTTAAAATTTTTGGTGATTTTTTTTTGTGCAAAAACATGGCATGGACTGTTGCTTTGAAATTGTTCAACTAGGTGTTGGGCAGGTTGTTTTCATAGTCACTTGTATTTTGATTTACCCCTGAGTAGTATTACGAGAATATTGACGTATATAAGCTGCATTTAGAGATTGTTACAAATGATATGCCTAATCCAATGGGGCTTTTACTGTCTTTGATCCTGTTTTGATGACCATAGCTATGTTAGCATACAAGACAGTGTCAGGTACAAGAAGTTTCCGAAAGGCAGTGCATCTTGTTCTCCAAGCCCTTGCTCTTTGTCTGAGCTTAATTGGCTTTTGGGCTGCCTTTAAATTTCACAATGACAAGGGAATTGACAATTTCTACAGTCTACATTCATGGCTAGGCTTGGCTTGCCTCTCTTTGTTCAGCATTCAGGTAAATATCAAAACTCCCACTTGTTTTGCTACAACCTAGAAATCTCCTTGCACTTGGTCTCTCTTTTGTGAGGAAACTAAAATTTCCATATGATTGGTTTAATTTGTTTATTGTTTTTCTTTTGCTGTTTTGGCATAGTGGTGCATCGGATTTGTAACCTTTTGGTACCCTGGTGGTGCAAGGAATACCAGAGCTACTCTGCTTCCATGGCATGTATTTTTGGGCATTTATATCTATGGTTTGGCTATTGCTACCGCTGCTACTGGTATCTTAGAGAAGCTTACCTTTCTTCAAGTGAACAATGTCATATCCCGATACTCTACGGAGGCATTACTGGTCAATTTGTTAGGGATCTTAATTGTAGGCCTTGGTGGCATTATCATATTGGCTGTGGTTTCCCCTTCTATTCATAAGGGGGATCCATTTCGAGCTTCAGAGTAAGTTGGCATTTTGATGAGCAATCTGATCGACCACTGATTCGGGTCGAGTAAAGCTCCTTTGGCTAGAGATTGTTTGATTTTTAATGTGGGTTATGTTTCAAGAGTTTAACAATTTTAGTTTTGTTATTGATCGGTTTCTTCCTGTCTAATAGATTGAATCTGAAAGATAAATAAAGTAAATTACTTAAGGGTGTGGTTTCTATACGGTTGCAACCTTAAACAATCCAATTAAGGCGCACTTCCAAATTTTACCATAACATGTAATTTTGTTGTAAATTTTTTTTATGATCATCTTAAAATCTATTTTCATATCTAATTAGAAAATTTTAAACTAAAAAAATAGTTAAAATCAAGTAAATCGATAAAAATATGAAAATCTTGAAAATGGACGGTCTAGATAATGTTTTGCAAGATGCATTATTTCTCGGACTCAAGTTTTTTATTTTTTATTTTATATTCATATATCTCAATATCGAGATGTTCTATAGGTTTTTCAACATTAAAACAACCTCTCTGAGATAATTTTGAGGTGCATATGCAATTCTACATTTTAAGGTTGCAACAAAACCGTTTCCATTACTAAAAACTTCCCAGAAAATGCTAGTTTTCTAACGTATCAGAGTGAGTCACACAATTTTCATTCTCTTTCTTTTAGGGTGGGTCATATGGTCTGAAATCTGAAGGTTTCAAATGAGCAGATATCTCTCTCTCTCTCCAGAAACCTACATGTCCTTAAAGTTTAAATTTGAGTTCGACAGAGAGAAGAGAGTGGGACTCAAGAGAGAGATTGGCCCTTCTTTATTAGCCTAGGGCGATTAGGTTAAACTGTTAAGTGTTAGGACTAATTTTTCTGACTTCTTTAACAAGTATCTTTACTTTGTGACGGTTAGAAGGCTCCTGAATTTCTGTGGCTACTCACTTCGCGCTTTGTTCTGTATTTTGGGTTAGGGCTGAAAAGCATGGCGCTGGTCCTTTATCAATCACTATGTAAATATCAAATCATCTGCATGATTTCCTGGCTACATGTATTTAGTGTAACCTATAGTCTAAAGTGAACTAATATTTGATTTCAAGACCTGGAGACATGTTTGAAGAACATAAATCTAAGTGAGGATAAATTACTTCAATTCCAGCAAATAATCAGTCTTTTTTTCTTCCACCAGGCTTGTAAATGAAAACAATCGCTTTTGATCCAATAGAAAGCAAAGGTGCCCTCGTCAATCTAAGTATATGGGAATGTACACTATGAGACCACTTACTGAACAAAGAGGTCATAATCAATTTAGTAGTTAATTATGAAATCCAATAGATTGTAGTGTGTCACAATATTTAAGAAAATATTATTTTAGATTTTGTGTCCGCGTAACGATTCATCTTCAACTATTTAATTTTATATTTAATCGTCAATAATGATTGCGATCTTTTGTCTTGAAAGTAAAATGGTCTCGTTATATATATTTCCATGTATCAAACCCAACCCAATAGGTTCACTGTTTAACACTTAATCCATTTGCCATACTTTCAAGAATCCTGTCAAGGTCGACCAAGTGCTCCATAGAGGCCATGGGGCAGTTTTTAATTTTTCCAACCTGATTTTTAGTAGACAGACTTATGGATATTGGTAATTTTGAATAACTATATTCCAATTTAAACACTCTTGTGATATTGATACTTGTAAATGGAGGTCATAATCATTGTTAGCCATAAGATGTGAAATCTTATATATTGAAGTATGTCACAATATTCAAGAAATTTTATTTTGGACTTTGTATCCGGTCAACGAGACATCTCCAACCATCTTATTTTACATGGAATAGTTAGTAATGACTGTGATTATATCAAGATTAAATGATCTTATTGTATACTTACATCAGTAAATACAAATATCTCATTGGTTAGTGATATTAGTTGCCAAAAATGCTTATACCATGGGTGAATTAGTGTTAAAAAATACCACCATCATGCAAGGTATTTAGAGTAAGATATTGGTGTCTTAATATCTCATAAAAACTTAGCGCACACGCGATATTGGTATTCAAGAATACCAACATTTATCATGGTGACTTGGTAAAATATTGGTGTTGAAAAACACCAATATCTCACGGAGTGTTTTCACATAAGAATGTGACGGAGTCTTTTCACATAAGATCGTAGTCGGAGTCCCACTTTTTAAACACAGATGTCATGGCATCTTTTCACATAAGAATGTGGAAATTCAAAGGAAAAAGTTTATATAAGGTTGCAACCTTTAATGTAGAATTAAAGTGCACATAAAAAATCCATCACAAAAGGTTGTTTTGATGTTGGAAAATCTTCAAACTGATCATTTCTACATCGAGATGTATGAATATGAAAAGAAAAAAAGATTTTGATTCCTATAAATAGTATATCTTACAACATACTATCTGGACCGTCCATTTTAAGATTTTCAAGTGTTAATAGCTCTACTCGATTTGATTAATTTTTGGAGTTTAAGATTTTATAATTGGAAATTTTTTTCATGTGGTCCATTTAAAAACAATTGAAACTAGAAGTCCAAATGTTTTCTTAATATAATTATTATTTTAAATTTTCGAAGTTATTTATTATCTTATACTTGTGATCTCCATGTTAGAAATTACATGTCCTTAAAATTAGGTAAAAAAATCCATCTCAAAAATAGATTTTTAAGAGGTGATTCATTTCTACATGGACTTATAGAAACCATGTATTTTATGATTAGAGATGAAAAAAGATTCTCAGGCCATCCTAAGAGCTTTTTTCCACCGAACTAATGTTGCGCCTTAATTTGATTGTTTAAGATTGCAACCTTACACAAACCACGCCCATTAACAAATGAACAATAATAATCTCTCTCTCATTTGAACGAGCAAAATTGGAAAAATATTCTATGATTTTTGAGTTGCCCAGGCAAAGACATCAACGCATGCATAGTAATCTGAGTTTACTTGAAGTCGATCACACATGTGCGTGTATATATGCATGCACAAGGACATTTCAAACTAACATCCACTCGAATTAACTGAATATAGACACGTTTCCCACTTTTTTTAAGACAAACATCTCTTATACAATTGATATGAAATTGATTCTAATCATATGGTGTCCTTCTCTTCATCTCTCTCTACTACAGCAAAAGTAGTGTAAATTTGAATTTCATATTCCTAATGTCATTAAATAATAAGGTGGCACTCCCCTATGCATTTTTGAAGAGTGTTCTCTCTTTGGGAAGGGTAAACTAAACAAAAGAAACATTTTTTTTGTAGACACCTTTGAGAACATCTATATGCACGTAAACACCTTTCTTCTTTCACATTCGTCCATGTTCAATCCCTCATTACATATCTTTTTTTTCACAAATTTTTTATTTTTATGAATCTTTTGGACAAATCACATAAACCCAAATCAGCAAGTTCTAATTAATGTACTAGCTGTATTAAGATTAAAAAAATTCGCATAAATGTGATTACGGCCAACTAATAAGATAGGAGAGCAAGGGGACAATTTGTGTAGGACCGAATGATTATATTGTTAATTATGCTGTTTTATAATGCATTAAGAATTTTATCATCACATGGAAATTTATTTAATTTCTATTTTATTGGGTGAATAATGTTTATGATGGCAAGGGTAGTAACATCATCGCCTTGGGAAAAATGGGATAATATTTGTTTTGTTCATTCATCATCGTGAAGTGAGATGTTCTTTAGACAAGAAAATCTGTTTTTTTGTCTTACTTGCCCCAAAAACATGTGCCTTTTTCTTTGGGCGCAAAGGAGTGGAGATTACCCTACTAGGTTATGCTCTAAAGTGATTAGAGAATGCCTAAATTACCATCCAATTACTTCCTGGGGTGCGGTTTGTATAGAGCTTAGGCTCTAAACAATCAAATTAGAGCCTACCTTTAAATAGTGTCAAGAAATGTGGTTTCAATACTTGAAATCTTTGGGATGACTTTAAAATATATCTTCATCTTTATTTGTAAATTTTAAAGCTTAAAACATAGTGTAGATCGATAGGTCCATGAAAACTTAAAATTTTTGAAAATTGATGGTTAAAAAATACATTACAAAATACACTTTTTCCAAAGTTTAGAATCTATTTTTTTCTCATGTCCATGCATCTTAATGTCGAGATGATCAATTTGAGGATATTTGGGCATCAAAACAATATTTTTTAATGAAATTTTTGAGGTAGGCTCTAATTTCATCGTGTAGAGCCTCGACTCTATATGAACTTTTCCCTTACTTTAAAATCAAAGGCAATCTTTCTTTTTTTTTTTCTATATTTTTTATTGATTTCTTTGAGGTGGGTCCAAGAATTTTGGATGTTTGAAATTCTTACCCACTTTCACCAAAATCCTAGCACCTTTTACATATTTCGTTTCCAAATCTTTGATATTGAGTTAAAAATCCCCATGCTTCCCTTTCACAAAAAAACTTGACCAAAGTAAATGATTCTCAAATGGAGGATATCATGTCATTCATCAATGTTATCCAGACGGACAAGCTATCGAATCCGTGAATGATCTAATTCAGTTAAAACCGATTAGACTCGAATAAATTAGGTTTGGATTTTTAAAAAATATTAAACAAAAAAAAATAATAGCTTTAAAATAAACTTACTCCATAAAAAAATCTACCTAACTTTGTTCGTCAAAACCGAGGAGTAAAAATGGTTCAAGTATAAATTTTTACTAAGGACGAAATTGATCCAATGTGTCAATCCAGTCCAGTAACAGGGACCAGCTGTGATGAAGAATGCATGGTTTGAGTTTGATGTGAGCATCCTTTTGGTGGCTGAAATGGCGTGTGAGTTTATAAACTTGTGTTTTTTGGAAATCCGAAGCTTCCCATAAATGGGAGAGGTCAGTTAATAGGGGAGGGGAGGGGAGGGGAGGGGCGGCAAGGAATCTGAGAGACGTGGGTGAAGGCGGAGGTAGCGGCGATGGTTTTGCATTTTTATTCTTTATTATTTGGCCCTCTCTATTTTTCATGCCTTAAATCTGCCAGCTATTATATAACACAAGTCAAAAACTCCTTAGAGATGTCCACATGCATATTCCATTTATCCCTACAAAATACTCAAATCCTACCCGTGTCCTTACGAGTCCCAACCAGTAACCCTAACATCATTCAATCTTGGGAAACCTTATTAACTTATATAACAATTAATGTGTGAAGTTATTATCGGTTTTATTAATCTATTTGTTGTTAGATTGTTCCTGGCCATCCAATTAACATTAAACAGCTGCATATCTCCGATCCATACGATATAGCTCACCAATAACATTGGCCACCAACATTCATTCTTCGAATACCCATATTTTAACTTTGATTGTGAACTTCTTATATAGAAACCAGATATTTAAAAAAACGCTGGATCGGTGCGGAATCGCAAGTTCCAATATGGGAATCAGTCACCAAGGGCCGATTCTGTTAATATATAGGAAATTGCCCAGGTGTAGAAGAGAACCAACGATTTGCTATAATAAAACGGCGTTTTGCTACAGTAAAAACAACGATTCTGGTTCTTGGCCGGTTCACTACTTTTGCACGTGTTTTTTTGCAGGTTCGTTATTTTTTCTATATATTAAAACAACGATCCAAATTGCCGATTCACCTATCCGGACCGATTTTTGCAATGTTCGATCCGGGTCATCGATCTGTTTTTTAAATCACTACTATAAACCCATGCCTTTTATACAAATTTAGTAAAACTTTTGCGTCATTTAAACATTGAGATGGGTTGATGCTAGCTTTTAATGTTCGTATGCCGCCATGCACCAACATTGATACCGTGGTCCTTGAAGACTGAAAAGATTTAACGCCCTAAAGACAGCCTAGAGCAGAAACCATTCAAGCCCATCTGAAGGACCTCAAAACTAATAAAGATTTGTCAAGAAGTAGGTTGTCGTTCGTTGACTCTGTAGCTATATGTCCTTTCTCCCTTTTTGTTCATAAACTTATCTTAAACATTATTTGAGGAAATTTTCAAAGCTCAATTCCTCATATCAAAGTAAAAAAGCAAGACAAAAAAATGAAGACGAATAATACTTCGGGCACTACTAAGTTTGGAGGATTTTAGTAGGATAATAACAAGCATGTATATGCTACACAACATTTTCCAATAGTTGTTGATGGTGAGTGTCAAAAAACACAAAAAGCAAGACTAGAGCCTCCAAAATGTTTCTAGTAATCATGCTTCATTGAGGGCCAAAACAAAAGGGTGCTTTTTGATAAGGTAGTTTCCTTAAACAATCAAAGTAAGGCAAGATGTTTTAGTGTCTGAAATTTCTAGGATGGTCAAAAACTCTATTTCCATCTCAATCAGAAAATATATAACTTAAAAAATGATGCAAATCTATAAACAGTTAAAAATCTTGAAAATTGGTGGTCAAGATAAAGTGTTATAAGGTGCAATTTTTTTTTTAGATTTGAAATCCTTTTTTTTTTTTGCCCATATTGATATATTTGAAATCGATATGATCAATTAGATGGTTGTCTCGAGTCGGAACAACCTTTGAGGCACGCTTACTTGTGCTGCAACATAAGGTTGACATCTTATCTAAATTTTATTTAGAATAAAAACATAATAATAAATTATTTTCTATTAAATAAGAACATTCGATAAATTTTGTTTTGGACTTCTCGTCTTACCAATAATACCTCTTTAACCAATCGATTTAAAGTGTAATGGCGAGCGAGTTTCTTATATTAAATGTAAATGGTCTAATTATAATTATTTACTGTATAATAAATTAACATCAATATAAAGATGGGTGGTGACAGATGAGGAATTATGAGAATACATAGGGTTATATGGTACCTGACCCTTAGATTATTTAAATTATAGAGCTTGAACAGGTCTCCAGTGAAGAGGAAAGTAAGAACCCCCCGTACTCTCAAGGAACAGTGATCATGAATCTTTCTCATCTACCCTTTAGCATCTGTGTTGAAAAGATGAGAAGGAGTACATCTTCCCTCATAGAATTGAGTTTTTCCACTATTTTCTATGAGATAGGCAAGCAATGACACTTGCTAGAGAGAGTAAAGCTACACAGGAGGCAAACAACCTGATCATGTTTCAGGCTTATCCATTCCACAGCAGCACATATGTTTCAAGCGCAGGTGCACCCCCTCTTCACCCTTCCTCTCTCTATCTCGGCAACACCTTCGAAGCTCAAATCCCTTTTGCAGTCACTGACCCAACTGAGCTCAGCAATTGCACCGACTTAGTAATGGGAGGCTCCAGCTCCTCCTCTTCGGAAGACCTCGAGGGCTTGGGTGCTATGCTATCCTTCACACCGGGCGATAATCACAGTTACAATCGCACTCCTTGGGCGTATCCTTGCAACTCTCCACTGATTTTCGAACAAGGAGGTGGAGTTGGCGATCATTTTTCCAGCTCAATTCCGGTCGAAAGTTTCAGGTTATTCTCATCTGGAGATAGTTTTTTCCGAGGGGAGGAGAAGGAGAGAGAAAGAAGCTTGTGTCTGCAGCATAAGCGGCCATATCCGGTACGTTTCAAAAGAAGCATCTATATGTATATAGATGAGAGAGTTATAGTGCATGGAGAACTGTGATGCTTATGAAGATTCGCATTTTATTCTTTGTAGGGTGAAGAGATTAAGGTGCAGGCCTCAAAGAGAGTTTGTGGGTACTCAAAGGCCATGGACGTGGACATGGACATGGACATGGACATAGACATGGGGGGGGATTGCATCCCATCTCTACTTTTTAGGAAACCTACTAAACAAAGGCATGTCCCCTCCAAGGACCCTCAAAGTATAGCCGCAAAGGTAGGTAAAGATTACATGAAAAACCAAGGAACTAAATTAGATAGATCAAATCCACTTAACTTTTTTTTGTTTTTTTTGTTTTTGAGCGAGGGGGAGAGAGTTATAGAGTCAGAATTTGTAATCGGTTAGAGAGAGAGTTATAGAGTCAGAATTTGAAATGGAAATGGATGATTTCAGAATAGGAGGGAGAGGATCAGTGAGAGGCTGAAGATATTACAGGATCTCGTACCAAACGGCACAAAGGTACAAATTTTCACTCCTTAATGAGCTCTACAACTTTACTGCTTATGAAAAAATTCTCTATCTCTAATGAACATTTATTGTCATTGATCAGGTGGATTTGGTGACTATGTTAGAGAAAGCCATAAGTTATGTAAAGTTTCTACAACTTCAAGTAAAGGTTTTAGCGACTGATGAGTTCTGGCCTGCTCAAGGAGGCCAGGCGCCTGAGGTTGGTCAAGTGAAGGAAGCCATTGAAGCCATTCTCTCCTCTCACAACAGCAAAGCCTCCTCCTCTTCTCCTTCAAACCCTACCATGTGAACTGCTTCTCAACTATCATTCTCTTCATATATAAATAATAGTATTCGTAGTCAGGACTAGAAGCAACTGGGAGTTAGAAATGGAGGTGGAATCTTACACAGTCACAAAAAGCTATACTTTGGACCTTTGCGTAGAGATCTTATTTAATTCTCTCTCTCTCTCAAGTTATTTTGACTTCTTGTTGTAATGCTTGCAAAGGCAACCTTATGCTTACGTACTGTTTGGTTCTTCTCCATTGGCACCATGTGTAATTCATGGTTTTGTAATTTAAAATATTTCATTTGACTATACTACTAAAATTTCCAAGTTGTTGGTTATGATGACTGATGGCTCTAAAATGCTTGCCAACAAAGTTTCACAAAATGTCTTCCAAAGACCAATTTAAAAATAGAAAAAAAAAAAAAACAAAAGAACAAAAGAGAACAAGAGCATGCACTTAGTTCTAAGACTGAGAACCCAGTTTAGTAGGATGTGTATTTATCAAGACTTAAGAGAATCAATAGAATAACCAGCATTATTATCTTTTGAGCCTTCTTCCAACTGTTTGAGAATGATTAATATACACATACTAATGCTAAAGATACCATTTAGTCTTTGTTCAATTCCCAACTTATGACGTAACTTAAAGAATGAGACCCCACTTATCCAAAAGGAATTGTCTACTAAGAGACGATTTATCTTATGTACATGGAGGTCGATCATTCCCACTTATTAGATGTCAAATTCAATGGCTTAAAGTGAGTCACGAAGTCCGAGAATTTTTTTTTTTTAAGCTTTGTATCTATTTAATGACATTCTCTCATGTACTTACTTTGAAATTTAAGATACAAGAATGATTGTGACCTCTATGAATAAATGACAAATGGTTTCTTTGTAGACAACCGTCATCCAAAAACCTCTGCTAAAGTGCTATTGGCCTTAGGGATAGAAAGAAGAAAACTAAAATTTTCTCTCTCCCCAATATTGTTACACTAATACAATGACATCCACATTGGAACATTTCATGCACATACTTTCCTAATGATAGCATTTTGAGTGTGGGTAGCGTTATGGTAATGGAAATAAGTAATATGACAAAGAAATGAAGAAAAAAGAACCAAACAAAAGAAACATCTATAAAAAAGTACTATATCCTTTATTCTCCACCAGTGTGGAAACCTTGGTGCATTTACATTGGAAGGGAGAATATGTATAAGCATCATCATTGTTAATGTTTTTTTTCAATTAATTGGGATTGGATATATGAATCTTAATCCGCTATTTCTGTTTTATTAAGGGCCGTACTCTCAGTAAGACAATAAGTCCTTATATCTTTTCTTACTACTTCCAACCATGTATTTTTGAACATTTTTTTTGCTTTTTTTGAGTATGCCACTTGAACTAACTCGTACTTCCTAACAGGTGCGGTACTGGACCTGTACCACACATGGCCAGCCACCCTAAGTCTACTCTCTCTCATTGTATCGCCCATTGATATTACACAAAAAATTTTTTCTAAAAAAAAAGGTATAATGTAACGTTTAAGATGTTATTACCATGTTATAATAACAAAGTTCATTATCGTTATGTAATGAGAATAATAAAATGAAAAAGAAAAAGAAACAAGAAAAAAAATTCTGAAATACCCAAAAAATAAAAAAACGGTAACTCGATAATTTTGAAGTCGAGAAATCAGCCCAAATGAAATCGGTTAAACTAGAGTAATTCGCATTGGAATATCTCTCACTTTAAAGGGATTGTATACAATAAAATCTTTATCTATCATACATAAAAGTCACAAACACCCTAAGCCATTAAATGTAAAATCGAAACAATTAAGAAGTCTCATTTTTCTACGAGATATTTAGATTTTTTTCTTCCCGGATCGCGAGAACCGTCAATGGAACACACCCAACCTTGACAAAAAAAAAGGTGGCCATTTTCTTACCAAAGATAAAAGTTGGTTTTGCATAATTTCCCAAATTTGCTGGTTTTTCAATAAAGTAAATTAAGTGCCAAATTACAGCCATAACAACAGTAACAGTTCCTAATGAAATGAAACCATGCGAAATAAAATTTACGTACGCAAAAGAATGAATGCATACGTGTGTTGGTGCCTTAATTTTGAGGATCTCTTTCTTGTTGATAAGAAATGCCCCAGTTAACACGTGTGCTTTACCTTATTTTGAAAGAAAGAAAGAGAGAGGAAGTTTCCCTGTACAAATTGCTACTGTTGACTCCTAATTCCAGGAGGAAAAATATCTTTGAAGAGGGAAAAAAAAAGGTGGACCCCACTTAGCACGTGCGTGTGCTAATTGTTCACATGCCATGTTACATGCCTATCTTTGCTCCAAAACCCTCAATTTGACCGTGCCATTCATCAAAATCGACGACCTTTTTATTTATTATCATCGAATCGAGTTTGATCAGGTCGTGTGCTATATTACCAAAAAAAATTTGGACGTCAATTAGGATTCAACACAGTTACTCGGACTCGATATGGACTCAGCCGAGTTACTTGGATTTGATGCGGTGCTTGGTTTTGATGACTAATTCTAAAAATCAGATGTCTTAAGTATTTGTTTTTTTTTATTTTTATTGGAGACTCAGCAAAGTCGGCCTCTTGGAGGCAAATACGGATTTCGAAAACTGCTTTTTGGTCTTTTCCAATTACTTGACCCATGACTTAAAGCCAACTTTTTTCTCATCACTTTTTCAAGTAAATCATCATTTTCCCCCTCCTAACATGAAAAATGAGAGAAACCGACAAAGATGATTATCATGACTATAACTAAGATAGTTTCCATATTTAGACAACAAATTAAGGATTAGAAACTAAGGACTGTATGTCTTTATTTCCTTCCCTAATCATTTGTGGGTATATTATACTATTTAAACAAACTTCAATTTTAGTTTTTTTATTGTATTCAATTGTATAGTTTTCTTTTATTGTATTCAATCATTTGTGGGGCGAGCAGTGAATGGGCCAACCATACTAATTGTAGTTAGATAAATATTTGAAGCAATTTTAAAATTTTTAATATTGAACAAACCATGGAAACATCTTGTTAAACATTTGTTTAGGAATAAACAATGAGCCGTCAAAAGGCATTCATTGCATGTCTCTATGTAAACCACTCCTTTACAATCTCTTTAGGTCATTGCCATTCACAAATAATGAAATCCACCCCTTTACACAAACATACATATATGTTTACGCTCTGATCCGCGTCGACCTTTGAGTGAAATCAACTCAAATGTTTATAAAACCTAAGTAATTTATGAAAATGTAGAAAAAAAGGGGTCGCTCAATTTATGGGCTTAAAAACGACATATATCTATTCAGATCTAATTCTTTTGTGAGTCCACTGGCAGTGCCAACTTCTCGATCTGTGTATATTGCTTTTTAAACACTTTTAAATTTTACTAATATAATACATAATAAGAATTTGTACGAATTTAAGCTAATTAATGGAGAAAATAAACTAAATTAAGTGGAGGAAAGAAATAGTTACCTTATGGACCTGAAACCCTGAGTTTTGGGCTTGTATAAGGCCGCTCTTCTGGTGTCACCATCTCCTTTTGTGATTATTTGCTTGGGTATTTTCCTCATTTCAAATTTCCTCTGGGAATTCTCCTATTTTTTAAGGATTTTTCATATCTTTTTCTAATGGGGTTTTCTTGTTCTTGGATGGGGTATTTATAGGTTTGAACTAGCGTTAGGGTGGAAATTATATTAGGTTTAATCACCTAATTCAATTAGACTTACCTTAAGACTTTTTTTCTTATTTTTTGGATTTTTTCCTGATTTTTTTGGTCAAATTATTTGGTAAAAAATGCGTCTTGGGTCAACGGGCCACGTGACGGGGGAGCATCGGGCGGCCCCTTTCTAGGGGCAGTTTGGTAATTTTGGCCCCTGAAACTTCTTAGACTTATAATTTGTGATCCGTAAGTCCGATAGATGCAGTTCTCAGACCGTTGCTAAGCTTTCAGGGTCTACTACAACTTGGGATAGGTTTTGGGTAGTTTTGAGATAAGTCTATTAAGTGTAGGATTCTTATGATCTATTAGAGTTTGTGTGGTCCATTGGATTCAGAATAAGAGTTTTTAAAAATTTCCTTAACCAGAATTTCAAGGGAGGTGTCTGCAATATATTGGCTATATTTCCTGATGTACAGGAAAACATTGTAGTTTATTACATTTTTCGGTAGATCAACAAAATTCGGAAAAGACAACTTTTCAGTGGGCGTAGTTTCGGTAAGGCTAGGAATTTAGGCTCAAATTATAATTCTCCTCACAAAACGAGATCTGATACGGGAAACACACAAACTCTGGTAATGGAGGGAAAATCACTTCAATCTCCAGAAGTAGTACAAATATGAGAGATTTATGAACATCCGACTTACAGTTAAAAATAAGTTTTGCAAGAAAGATCGTATAAGGACTTGAAGACGAGCTTGTTTTAGAATTCCTATGATTGTTGAGGTGCAGATGATTGATTTCCAGGTTTTCTAGCACGATTTCATTTTGAAAATTTGTACTTGAAAATTTGCACGTAAAAGTTTAATAGAAGTTAAATCTCTATAGGATTTCATTTCAAAACACATTTTATCACTTGAAATGTAACTCATAAGAAAAGGCACTCCATTGCTCCTTGATTTGTCCATTATTTAATATTCTAATTTGAAAACTTAAAAGAACCAAATCTTTGAGAATTCCACACTTCTGGATTGCGATTTTATTCCAAAATCTAATGTGCTCTTAGTGGCCTTTTATTATGTTAATTATAACACCATTAAGTTCTTTGATCAGAAGATTTTAATAACTTCATATATGGGCAAGATAGGTGGAAAACCACGTAGACTCATTTCTATTTGAGGAACTAGGGACCTCAATCAATTAATTTCTCTTTCTCATGATGAGATAAGTCATTGGATAGAGATAGGCTGGCCAATGTTGGAGTACCAAATATCTCATTTTTGTATTTTTTTTCCCATTTTAAAATTATGCCAACCTTTTTTTCTTGTTTTTGAAATATAAAAATCAGGCCAACCTAGTTTGGGATCTTAAATATACAAGGGTTGAGGGCCTTAGAAAGTTCTCCACCGAACAAAAACAATAATCCATGATTCGATGTTGACTATACAAAATTGGTTTATATCATATGGTATACTACGTGGTTCATCCTTCTTTATATTACGCCGTAACCAAGTGATGTTAAGCCCTCTTCCCAATTGAAAACTAAAAAAAAAATGGGAATTTTTTTTTTCATTCTCCTGTGGGACTAAACTGTAAAACT